AATAATCCACACTGGACATAACACATGGGGAGAAAGCACAGAGTCTGAGCTCTGAGCAGAGGCTGACCACAAATAGCCTCCAGAAAATGGCGTGGCTCAAAGAAGAATTCAGAAATCCTAAGAATGCAGGACAAACCAGTGAGGCAGGTTTGAATAATCCAGTTCACTCATTTGCCCCCTGTTTCCACTAGAGTGGGTTTGGTTGTAAATAAATGAAAACCTAAATAATCAACACTGTTTTCTCACAGACTAGAAAATCTGCAAGTGGGTGGTTCCTGGTGCCAATTAAACTGCCCACTGATGTCACCTAGGACTGGGCTCCCACATTTCCTCTTGCTGTCCTCAGTGTGGGGGCATCTTGTCCTTTGGCCACTAGGGTGTAGACAAGGAACAAGCCAGCCAGCCACTTCCTGCTGGTCCTGAACACAACCCATCTCAGTATTTCTATGCTTTAGGAAGTCAGTCTTTTCCTCCCTGATGAAAATTGACTCCCACCCTTTCTTCTCGAGTCTTGTTCTTGTTTACTCCTCTCTTCAGCAACCATGGATGGATATGTACATCGAAAATGAAATCTCTCAGCAATATTAATTTTAGAATTTCTGGATGTTCTTGTTAATGCAAATAAGATAAGAAACAGACTTTACGTGGTGTAACTATTGGAGAAAAACATAAAAATGCATTTACTAATAAACAACATTGACATACTTAAAAAAACCCAACTGAAAATTTTAAAAATCAATGAGATAAGCCAGACAGAATAAGAAATAAAAATGCGTAAGTCAAGACACACAAATGCACACACAAAATCTTTATCACCCTAACAAATATATTGAAAAGGAGATTCCTTTGAAAATAGAGTCATAAAAACATAAAATATTTGAGATTAATTTGTCAGGAAATGCAGGGACCTATGTGAAGATATATTTTGGAAAGAATTACAAATAAACTTACGTAAATTAAAATGCTTGTCATGTTCCAGGACAGCAAAGCCAATGTTCTCCCAAATTCATCACTAGATACAATAAAAGAACAAATAGGATTACAGTGGAGCCTTTTGGGGGCTTGGCCCTTGAACTTTGGTTTGTACTTCCCTCCTCCTCAAAATGTGAGGGAAGGAAGTGATTGATATCCTTCATGAGAACAAAATTGAGTTCAAACTCATCTGAAAGAGAAATGCCTGCAGAAATTACTAGTCCAAAAGTATTCTTTGCTTTTGCCAATAAATTTAGTCTTCAAAGTCATCAGTAGCATACAGTTGTAATCACAGAACTCTGGCTCCAGAGGGTGGTCGTAGAGGGAACCATTCTGTGGTTCAGCAAGTTAGCATGATTTTTTTTTTTTTTTGATTGGAGGTGTGTGGTTTGTTCTGAGCACCTTTTTTTACCCAGAGAGGACTCTTAGGCTGCCCACGATGAAGGACAGGGAATAAGGGGGAGATGGTACCCACATCTGCACGTGAAACTTGAATCCACCACGTCCAGAACTTGTTTGCACAGCGTGTGCCTGGATCTCTGGACTATCTCCTTGCTGTCTCTGCCGCCCCTTGGCCATGCCTCTGAGACTGCAGCTGAGGCTATGGGATCCTTCCTGCTGAGTGCAGTGGGTCCCTGCTCGTCATGGGGCATCCCCCTCCCAAGGAGTGACTCTGAGTCAGGCCCGCAAGGGTCCTCCTGAGCCTGCAGAGCCTGGTTACCTGTGACAGCCGCCTCTCGGAATCCCCACATTGTGACTCACCATGACTGAGCAAGAGACTTGAGAGCAGAGCTGGGGGGAGCAGGAAAAGGTCTCTTTGGCACAAGTCATAGAATTTGCCACCATTCATTATCTTAAATTGCGTTAAATCCAGAGGCAAGGGCTCCTAGGGCTGACTCCTGGGTTCAACTATGCCCCATAGCCAGGCACTGTCCATCTTTTGGCTCAGCCTTCCTCAGCATATTGTCTTGATTTTTCCTAAGGCTCATGTCCTCGTGGTCTCAAGGCGGTCATCATAGTTCCAAGTACCACGTATAGCCAGATGACATTTGGCTGAAGAAGTTGGCATGAGGGAGAGTGATTGTTTTCCATTGCCACTGTAACAAAGTACCAGAACTTTATGGCTTAAAGGGACACAAATTTATTATCTCACAGCTCTGGAGGTCACAAGTCCAAAATGGGTCTTACTGGGCTAAAATCAAGGTGTCAACAGGGCTGCACTTCTGGAGGGTCTAGGAAACAATCCGTGTCGTTGCCTTTTCTGCCTTCTGGAGACCACCTGCATCACTTGGGTTTAGGAGGGAAGCCAGCATTTCAAAGGGTTCTCATGGGAGAGAGAGGGTAACCTCCAGGTTCCTGTGTGAGACCTTTCCACTCATCCAGATACCCTTTTAGGCAGCTATGGTGAGGTTGTCCCACAAGCTCAGCCCCAGGGGATGACTTCAGTGGGCATATCCACATGGCCTCATTCTGTGACCATTGCCAGAGCGATTAATCCAGGGATGTACAAGCACCCTGGTCCAAGCAAGTCAATGCAAGACATTCTCCTGTCCATGGCAATTGGGTCAAAAGGTTGAACATAAACTGTGTGTGAAGCCCAGCGTTTTGATTAAAGATTAAGAGAGTGTGGTAGGCTGAAAAGTGGTCCCCAAACACGCTAGGTCCTAATCTCTGGAACCTATGAATGTTACTTTACGTGGAAACAGGGTCTACAGATGTACTTAAAGATCCTGAGATGGGGATATTATCCTGGGCTGCGCATGCATTCACATATATCTTTATAAGAAGGAGGCAGAGAGAGACTTGACCACACATAACACAGAAAAGGAAGAGGTGATGTGATCACAGAGACAGAGATTGGAGTGATGCAGACACAAGCCAAGGAATGCCAGTGGACACCAGGAGCTGGAAGAGCCACGGAGAGAATTCTCTCCCGGAGCCTCCAAGGGGAGCACAACCCCGCCAACCCCCTGATTTTGTCTCAGTGATTTTGGTTTCATACCTCTGGCCTCTAGGACTGTGAGAGAATAAATTTCTCTTGTCTCAAGATTTCTCTTGTCTCTTGTTTTAAGACACTAAGTTTGTAGTGCTTTACAGCAGCAATAGGCAAGTAACATGGAGAGCAAAACCCAGTCTCTTGAGGGAAGCTAAGGAAGCATATTCAGTCTCTGTTGGCAGCATATTTGTGTCAAGGGGAGCCAGTTTATGAATAAGCAGTATTGCAGACAGCTGAGGGGGAAGGTGGGAGGAAATCCAGTGTTTGTAGACATTATTGAATTGCTGCGTCATACTGATCCTAAAGCTATACTGGCTGCCTAAATCTCCAGGCATGTGAGTAAAAACTCCTGCGATGGTGTTAGGCAATTTGAGGTGGGTTTTCTGACAGCAAGCATCCTGACTTGTACGGCAGCAGTGGCAGACCCATTTGTTTCGTCTTTGTTTTGAGACTGTTTAAAACTACAGCATGGGTCCTTTGTATCTCATCGACTGGCACATAGTTTTAAGTTTTTAAATTGAAGTATGTGATATAACCCTAACCCTTCTCCCTCCCCCTCCCCCAACCCCAATATCTCATACTTCAATTAAATATAAATATGTATATATGTATCTATAGTAACAGGCCTAAAGTCCTAATCTCTACAGCTTGATGAATTTTTATATATGTAGACACCTATGTATCCATCACTCAGGTCAAGAGAAAATATATTTTCAAAACTCTATATTACTTCCTGGGCAATATCACCTCCCAGAGGTAACCACTGTCCTAATTATCACCGTCAACTAGTTTTTCCTGTTCTCAGACTTCGTATAAGTGCAGTCATGCAGTCTACAGTCTTTTATGTCTGGATTCTTTCACTCAACTTAATGTTTTTGAGATTCAGCCAAGTTGTGTATATCAGTAGTTCATTCTTTTAAAATTATGGAGTAGTATTCCACTATGTGGATGTGCCACATTTTATTTGTTCATTTTATTATTAATGGACTGCTGGGCTATATATGGTTTTTGGCTCTTATGATGAACTTCTGTGAACTTCCTTTTGTATGTGTTTTGGGGACATGGCTCATACTTCTGTTGTGAGTAATTACTATTATGTTCTCTTGGGGAATTTTTCCAGAAGGAGTACAGTGTTCGAGGAGTACAACTCTTCTCTCATTCATGAGTGATATCTTTCTTGAGCATAAAATCCTAACATCAGAGTCCTTTTGTTTCTGGAATATTTACTTGTCTTCTAGTGTCCAGGGTTTCGGAAGAGAAAGCCAGTGCTGCTTAGACGCTCTGTCTTTGTGAGGGATTTTGGTTGAAGCTTGTGAGGTCTGTGTTATCCTTGGAGTACGGACACATCAACAGGCAGTGGTGTGTCTTGAATCCTGCCTGAACACTGGCAGTGCCTTTAGAAATGTGAACACGCACACAACTCTTTATTATACCTCTCTTTAAGTTGAAAGTAGAGTGTCATTGGTGAAACATTGGTAAGGTAGTATAAATCTCTCAAATTTGTTTGAAGCAACAACATTTGGAATGTGCAGGGAAAAAATGGATGGCATATCCTTCAGCCCTCTTCTGTAAATATTATAAAACTATACATATATTGATCACCATGATGGTAAAAGATGTATGATTTCTGTACCACTTCTCAAGTTTTGTACTTCTTTGATTCACATATGATGTAGAAAGGTACCTATGCTGTTGTCATTGATAACATTTACATTTGATTATCTATGGAAGTCATATCTATGAGACATTGTCCATCAGGCGTAGACCCTGAGTCCCCATTAAATGGTGTTTCTATGGCAAATTAAGGACACAGATAGAGACCTGCTTATACCTGCTGATGTTTGACTGCAGGGAGCCACAAGCACACAGACTTACTATATTCAGGTACTTGCTTGTAGGTCAAAAGTAACTTGCAGACTTTGCCTCCTTTGTGGTCTATCTCTGGTGTCAAAGAAAATGGAATTCCAACCAATACCTTTTCCATGTTGATTTTGTTCAATGAGTTTTTCTAATCTATATGAATTTCCTGGTGTCAAATAAGGTAAAAGCCATGGTTGAAAGCTTGCCAACATTGACTACATTCATAATGTTCTCCAGTATGAATCCTCTCATGTTGAATAATGTGAGAACACCTCCTGAGGGCTCTTCCACACTGACTGCATGTATAGGGACTTTCCCCAGTATGAGTTCTCTGCTGTTGCATCATAAGGACTAAGCTAAATCTGGGAAGCCTTTCCATGATGACAACATCCCTCATTCTTCTCTTCAGTGTACATTCTGTGATTTTGAGTAAGGGAAGAGCAAAGTGTGAAACTTTCCCTGAATGATCACATTCATAGGGTTTCTCTCCTTTATAGATTCTTAGATGTAGGGTTAACTGGTCACTCCTTTAAAAGCGTTTTCTAAATTCACTGAAAATGTAGACTGTTTCACAAGTATAAATTATCTCATAAGGGGTAATTTGTGCCTACAGCCATTTCTACAGTGATTACATTTATAGGATTGCTCTCCTGTATGTTCTGAAACATACTGAAAGAAATCTTTTTCAGTATCTCCTGAGAGAGTTTGCTCATAGTTCAAATGGGCTGAGCTCTGTTTAAAGACTTCTCTACGTGTATTACATTTATAGGATCTCTCTCCAGTATGACTTCTCTGATGTCAGAAAGTTATTTAGCATGAACAGGGATTTCTCACACTTGGGACATCTGTAGGGTTTGTCACCTGTGTGAGTTCTCTGGAGCCAAAGATGGGGAGGAGCTGCTGTGAATAAACTTTCCCACATTACTTACATTTAAATATACTCTCTCCTGCATGAATTCTCTTACATCTACTGAGGTTTGTGCTACATTTAAAAGATTTACCACGTATATTTCATTTGTAAGACTTTTCTACATTATACTATTTGCCAGTTCAAGAAATTGAGTGTGTCAACTGAAAGTATTCCCACAATCATGATTTTCAGGGTTTTTCTCTGCATTCTAAATGGTAATTGATTAAACCTAAACACTGTTTTACAATGGGTCATGTACGTGGTTGTGTTTGCTGGTAGGAATATTGTATAGTGGAAGAAGACTTGAATTCTACTTAACATGTCGCCTAAATTCCTTATTCTTTCAGCCTTGCTCCTGAATCAGTGTTTCCTTGAGCATCATTTGTTCTACTCATATCTCCTGGTCCTCCTGCTGCTCCTATAAGTGAAGCTTACACTCTTGGTCTGTCCACGTGTGGAGGGACGGAGTTCACTCCTTATGACGCTTTCCATTTTCAGGACAGCTTATGGTTCTAAGACAAATGCCTTGCATTCTCATTATCTCTTGGCTTCTGATTACAGTTTCCCAAACTAGATTAAAAAAAAACAGATAATTTTAAATGCTGGACAGAAAATGGTGAGATTGGGCCAGGTGCAGTGGCTCATGCCTGTAATCCCAGCACTTTGGGAGGCCAAGGCGGGAGGATTGCTTGAGGCCAGGAGTTCGAGACCAGCGTGGGCAACATAGTGAGACCCGCTTCTCTACAAAAAATGAGAAAAATTAGCTAGGCATGGTGGTACATGCCTGTAGTCCTAGCTACTCGGGAGATTGAGGCAGGAGGATTGCTTGAGCCCAGGAATTCCAGGCTGCAGTGAGCTATAATCACACCACTGTACTCCAGCCTGAGTGACAGCGTGAGACCCCCATCTCTAAAAGAAAGAAAGGGAGGAAGGGAAAGAAAAAGAAAGAGAGAAAACAAAGAAAAGAAAGAAAGAAAGAAAAGAAAAAAGGAAAGGTAAGAAAAAGAAAGAAGGAAGGAAGGAAGAAAAGAAAGAAAGAAAAAAATAAAGAAGAAAGAAAATAGTGAGATTAAGTTAAGGAACTCTTCTGAAATGTGTGGATTTATTTTCAAATCGGCCTTGCAAGGAAAGATTGAGTTGCAAGTGGAATGAGCTCAGTCCCTCAGGTGTCTGTGGAAAGATAAATCAATCTCTGCTACTGATAACTCCTCACTCTCATTGTCGAGATGTTCTGGACCCCAATTCTCGGGGGAGGGGAGGGGGCTGGCCCTGAGCTCTCTTGTCCCTCCTGCCAGTATGAGGATCGCTTTTATTCCCCTGGTTCAAACAACACCTGAACATTGATGAGTCACACTTCGTAGCTTCATCTCAAATTCTTTTCTGAGCCTGGGCACATTCTACTTCCTACTAAAAGTATTCATTCTGCAAACATACCCTGTCAAAATCGAACATTACCCATACCCCACCTGCTCCTCCTCCAGTTTTTTTCCTCAGAAGATGGCATCACTATCAACCCAGTTGCTAGTGCCAGTACCCAAGGACAGGTGATTTTGAATCAATCACCAAATTCTGAGTCCACCTTAAATATGAATTGAATTGGTCTCCTTTTTATTTCCATTGCCCCAGCCTGCTCTG